ACCCTTGCAAAGGTTGACGAAGAAAAATGGTTTATGAGATGGTAGATAACGCTCATAAACCTAAGAAGGAGTTTATCTAATGGTAATAAACGGATAGAGAAGGTTTATTATTCTCTACTCATTTTTTACAGTGAACTGGTAGTAAAGTAAAGAAATATGAGAAACCGATAAGAAAATAGGCCCTAATTCGTTTTTTTACCATTACTTTCGCATTTTGTGAGGGTAAGAATATACATGTCCATGATACTATATCAAATATGCTACACTCGTTGAATATCTGCTCGTTTGCTCTATATTTGCTTGTTGAGATAATTTTCGACACTTGTAATTTTGAAATAAACGAAACACGAGGACAAAAATTTCAAGAGTGTGTTGTCACTGGTTTAGTTCTTGTGCTTTATGATAGACGTCTGAGAACAAGCGCAACATATAGTTTGATATAGCGAGTTTCGCTCTATCTTTTGAGATGTATTCCAATTGTACAGATCGAGATGATTTCAAGGAAACATCGTCAAACGTTGTAAAAGCTAATATAGAAAAAACGACAACGAAGTGTTTCTCTGGAAAAGAAACTTTTCTTTAATCCTTTAGAAGAACTTGTGATCGGTACAAATTAATGAGCTAAAAATTGGAATGCATAAGTTTCTAAACATCAGTTTTGTTTTCACATTGTAAAATACAATATAAGCTATAAAGAACAGACAAGAATATTCTAAGAATGTCCATACAAATTCAAAAATGAATTTTAAATTTTCTTGAAAATACGATATTCAAGAAAGCTCGACCTTTAAGTTTTGATTTTCGAGTTAAAAAAATGAAGATTGTACTCATACGGACATTTCTAGAATATGGAACAGGATTACATATTCTGAACATTTTAAAGAAAATAGAATACCTATTATTACTTTTCCTCCTTATAATATATTGTTCTTTCACTTCTATACCGATTTTACTTATAGTCTTAACTCTATTCATAGATCAACAGTTTATATACAATCATGGACATATTAAGCACTATTGGAGATACGTATTATAATTTTACAATATCAAAAAGTGAACGTAATTATCTTACAAAGATTTTTGCATATGTATATATATTACGAAATGAGACTGTGGTTTTATACAGAAGTAGCATGATAACTACTGAGAAATTGCTCTTATGTGTATCTAAGTAAATATGCAGAAGTTCTAGTGGAGTTGTAATTATATAAAATGAACTGTTTTATTATAAGAAAAATGTCTTCAAGTGAACAATCAACATTGAATACAAGGATGATATATGAGGGACATCACATAGTTCAAAAACAAAAACAAAAACAATCAGATATATTGCAACAGTTTTCAGGAAAAAAAATTATATTTGCTATCTTTCATGATCAATAAAAAAGAATTTATTGCTTGCTTGAATTATTATATGACAGATCAGTATGAGATAGCTGCACTTCATTCACTGGCATACTCGATGCAACTGTTGGAGAAAAATGAATTTTCAATTAAACATTGATTTGATAATCGTCATGATTTGAATAACATTCTCGAAAGTAAAATTAATTTTCCCTTTTTTGTGGAATTCAGAGAGATTTTCTATAAAACTGGAATTCATTTTCAAACATCATACAAAATTATTGTAAAAAAAAATTCCGCAAAATCGGATTGAAATTCTATGTTTGGAAAATGTAAAGCCTTATCTGCAAATTATAAAATCGTTTGACAATTAATAATAATTTGAAAATGTTTGAGCTTGTACTAACTCAGTTTTCAAGGAAACAGAATTTATTTAAAATTTACAGTGTAATAATAAGAGGAAGGGAGCAATCTTTGAAAAGCTATGGTGCCATTAAAAATCGCTTGATTATCTCATGGAACGTCTTTTAAATAAGTTGAAAATAAACTATACTCACGTACACAAAATGATACTGAAATTTATGAATTATGTTTTATCTGTGTTTGCAATTAGCTTTGCTACGTATTTATCAATGACGAATTTGCGTGGTTTTTTCCGACTCGCGTCTCATTATGTGCATCAATGACGCATGACATATACATACGATAGATAGTTGATTTCGTAAGGATACACTCATAATCGCACGTGTTCATTCTTTTGCACAATTTTCTTCTTCTATACGTTTTTTCTTTCTCTCTTTGCATTACGTGTCGCTATGCGAAGAAAAATATACACCGATATTTCCACATGGCAGCGTATTCCACTTGAATGTTGACATTTTTTGTCGCAGAGAAAAAGTAATCTAATCAGCTTTTGATCTCTAATATGAGAAAACCTAGCAATGAACTATTCATCAAAAGGTTTCTTTATGACAATAACTCATGCTATTGATCACACGGGAAATTTCTGTGTTACAAAAATTGATCGAAACTAAACTCAAACGATTTTTGGCAGAGTATTCGTGTTATCTTGCTCTCAATTCGTTTCAAAAGAAGACATGATAATGAGCTACGGACGATCTCTTCAATACTTTTCTTGAAAGACCTATTTCTCCTAAGATAACTGAACTTTCTTCATTTACTTTTTCTGTGGCATGATCATTCGTGCATTGTTTTGCTGGCAATCTCTGTTTATCAAATGACATCTTATTTGCAATGAAAACTCTAGAAGAAATATATCTTGATAAACTAATGACAAGCAAAGAATTCGAGTATCTTTCTTGCTTTTACACATTCACATTTAGAATATCATCGATAATTAATCATTGATATGCATTCAACTTAGGAATTCATTAAACTAAAGCCAAGCGTTTGATGTATTCTATGAGAAATGTCGATGTATTTTATGGACTAATGATTTATAGCCACTTGGTAGTCTGAACTCAATAACTACTTCACATTTTTCATCAATATCAATTGCTAATAGTCCGTCTCATGTTGATTTATGTTTATCGAATAAACACAAGTCAGAAAAAATGATAACGGTTCGTCAAGAAATGATATCATTTATTCAAGAATAAATTCTACTAATAATCTTTTGTATCAGACACCAGCATGTATTAAAAGAATGCTTACTATAAAAAATTCTACAAGAAACAATAAAAAAAATATAGGATAGAGAACACTGATAGATATTGATTATTTGTTGAAATTCATCATAATGTGTTACTTAACTAGTTTATATTAAGTTGAACAGTAGGGCCCATTTTTCTTGGTTGATAAGAATTACGATGTGCTTTAAATCATTTCGTTACCATTTCAGTTTCATATGTTGCTCCACTAATATAATTGGCTGTCATAGTTTCTGAAGCAAGAGCATTGATATGACCGAAACAGATTCACGAGCATAAAAGGTGTTAAAACTATAGATATTTTTATTTGTATATACTTGTCTTCCCAGTGTAAAACCATAAGCCTGCAGATGCAAAAATGCATCGTTAAGATCAATAAGTTCACCATTTCATGATATTTTTCATAAGAAACAGTATAATTACCATGAATCTGAATCTAAATTATTATCCTTAACCCTTTACGGCCGGCTCCTAGAAGCCGTTAAGAAAAAAATTCTTATGATACATATTTTTTCTTGTTTCACCATGAGGATGATCATATTTAAATTTGAGGATTAAAGAATTGATTTATAACTAAATACCACGATGTTGCCTTTTGGCAACATCCGGCCGTAAGGGTACAAAAAGTTGAAAAAAGACAATTATTTTTCCTCGATGAAAGACCAATAATTNAAGCACCTGTTTTCTTTGTACTTTGAATAGCTCGAGAAAGACATGTTCGTTTTCGTTGAAACTTTCAGGACTACATAATGACTATTAAATCTATCTATAGATAGAATTTCAGTTCGAAATTCTTCATTTTGGTTTTTTCCAAAATGCCTGGCTCACAGTAAAAATTTCAGTAAAACGGTCATAACTCTCAACTACAAGGCCATGGGCACGAATCCCTTTAGGCTTTTTCTTATTCCAATATACTCTATCAAATGAGGTATAAATAAATCAAAACAGAGCTGATCACTTGGGAATGTTCCCTCGTAAGTGAATCATTATAACATGTGATTTAAGGCCTAACTATTTATTATTTGTTATTTCTATACTATTTTAATTTATTTATATGACCCAAAGAGTCCTATATATTCTTAAATAAGTTAAATATGAGTTAATCTATCATAAGAAAAAAATTAGCGTCATATTCAACATTGTTTTATTTTCTTCTTTTTTTTGTTTTATTCAATTCTCTCATAAGGAATAAAACATTTAACGTTTGTATTTCATTTGCGATAGACTCAAAAGCATGATGAATTAGTAATGGTATTTTTTGTACCATTTTCTTTTTCTCATTGATCTATATATAACTATAACATTGTTTAGTATCTCAACAATCCTGACTACATTTATATTATTAGAGATTCCAGGACGGTTAACAGACATTTCGAAAATAACTGCTGTAATACACAGTTGTACTTATTTTTATATATTAAAATAATATTTAATCATATTCAATCAGGTTAGTTATTCAGGTTACAATCTAAGTAAAATTCTTCAAATATTTAAAGAATAAATTTTATATAAGCATAAAAAAAACAAGATAATTATTATTTTTTGTACCAAAAATGGATTAAAGATGAATAGAAATAGTTTGTATGTATAGATTTGAAGAGAAAATGTGATTTAAGAATGTGCTTATTATATCTATTAAAACTAAACAAATAAAGGATTAATAATCTTATTCAACTATATAATATAATACTATTAACTTGATAAGAACATAATGTCATTCAAATAAAAATAAAAATAAAAATTTATCTTAGTCTCTATGTCACATCAATTTTCTACCTTTACATAAGGTTAAATAAATGAAAATAAGCTTTGAAGTAGTTTTGTTTTTCTCAAAAACAATTTTAAGTCTTTTATATTTGCAATTAATCGATTTTATTTTCATTCTATCATTTATTTGTATTTCATAGTTAATAAATAGATACTGCAATAGACAAAATGTACAATTGTCGATTGTATAGTACGTATATAAAATATAATTAAATACAAATGAATATATTTATTCTTCGTAAGTTTCTTTTAGTTTTATTTTTCCTGGTGTTAATGACGATAAATGTTAAAAGTTCGATAAAACTTGTAAAACGACAATCATCGAATATTCGTCTTGAACGTTCTAATTCTCACAGTATTAATCGTGATGATCAACCTGTTCGTTTTTCATCTCAAACTCTTAAAAAAAACAAAAATGAAATAAAATTAATTCCTAAACAAAATTCGGTAAATCTATGTAATGGTTCATACATAAAAACAAATGGAACAACATGTGGTCTTAAAGAAATCATGATTGGTCGTTGTAATGAATATCAATATTTAAAACGTGGTCTTTATCTATCAAATACTACGTAAATATAAAAAGATCAACTTACTTTTTTCAACCTTTCATTGTTTTTTTTATTCTTTCTTTTATTTTTAGTCAAATAAAAAATTGTTCAAAACTTTATGAATTATTTGAATCTGCTGCTCGTTATAAACCATATTGTAATATGAATATGAGTACATATGAAAGTTATTTTCAATATGCACTTGCTGATGTAAATGCAATTAATCGAGTAAAATTTATTTTTATAAAACCAAAAAAAAATAAAATAAATAATTAATATATTTTATTTATGTTTTATTGAAAGTCTCTATTTTGGAGTGGTACTTATACATTAGCTCATGATTATAGTAATCGTGGTTTTAATTATATTACATTAGAAGATACATTAGCAGCAGCTATGGCTGATGGTTTATCATGGTGTGGAAAAGAAAATGATCCCCAAGGATTTGATTATGTTAGTTGTCCAAATAATTGTGCAGATAATATTTGGGCTGATGATGCTTTTTGGGGACTTGCATCAAAAAAGGTAAAATAAAAAGAAAAACGAAGAAAAATAATTTTCTTAAGTAATTTAAATATTTAGTTTGCTGAAAAAGCAGCTGGTGAAGTTTATCTTGTTTTAAATGGAAGTCGAGCTAATGATCAACCATCTTTTCGTAATGATTCATTTTTTACAAAATATGAATTACCTAATCTTCAAAAAACAGGTCAATATCGAGTTAAGAAATTGATTGTTTTACTTATGCATTCACCTGATCGAAAAGTTGTGTAAGTTAAAAAATAATATATCAATTTAATATATATTTTATTAATTATTTCTTTTTTTTAGTGAAAGATGTGGTGAAAAAAGTTTAATTACTTTACAAATGAGGGTTCAAAGTTATGATATTGAATATTTATGTAAAGATGATCCAGAAGAATTAATTTTAATTATGTGTAATGATCAATTAGAAGCACGAGAATGTCAAATAGCAAAACACGTTTTAAGACAACAATGGGATAAAAAATTATTTGGAAGATCAAATGCTAATTATCATTCTATATCATTTTTAGTTTTATTTTCTCTTATAATAAATTATTTTCTTTAAAATATTCTATCAGTCAACTTCTTTTTTTTTTTTTTTCTTTAAATCAGATTTTATCGAACTATTTCTTGAACAATAAAACTTTATTAATAATAATTTACTATTTACTATTTACAGATTTATCGATATCATCGATTTGATAGTTAAAACTATGAAATAATTTCATTAAATTCTATCGATTATTTTATTCATTTAATCAATTTCAAAGATTTTTAGTTTCCATTAAAGCGATGTTTCTTATTGTCTTTCCGTAGAAGAAATATTCGAAAGAAAAATAACATACTTAAACTTATATTACAGGAGACAAAAAAAAACAGATATTTTCAGTCTTAAAATTGCATAAACTCTTTAAGCTATAGCTTTTCTCAAAACATAATATTAAAGGTGATTATAATATAGTGTAAAAATTTAATAACAACTTTTATAGTTTATACGCGTACTCTTAAATTTTACCATTTCGAAAATGTTTCCATTAAGAATTAATATTTTATCAATTTATCTTGTTGATTGGTACCTACAATAAGATCATTTTCCTGCATTAGTATACCAAAATCTGTAATATTTGAACTAATTATAATTTACACTAGAAATCTTAGTTTCATAAAATATTTTGGAAGATTCTAAAACCTTCCAGATAAATCTAAGCACTGTTATTTATTACTGACACGGCTTTTTCCATTGTTAAAGAAACGTATTCAATAATATTTGACTCTCCTTTCAGTTGCTAAAGCCTTGCAGAGACAAGATAGGGGAAAAGTGTTTAAAAGTTTGATTCAAATCTCTACTCACTATAATGTCTTCGAAAGTAGATGTGTATTACATAAAATCATCAATAGGTCGCTCAAATATTCTATCTGTAATAGATTCAATTATCAACAAATGAAAGTTGATCAAATGGATCAACCGATGAACAACTAACACTATTAGATCATAATAATGATAATAATCAGGGTGACCAGATCAAAAACTTAAAAATCAACAAAAAATAATCAATATTTTTTTTCGAAAATAAGAAATCGATCAGAAAGAGTAATTTTTGCAAACTAGTAGCTACTATCTCAGATAGTTCAACAAATGAGATTTTGTCTTGGAAACTAAAAAATATTGATTGAAACAACCGTTTATCTCACCTAAATGCCATTTCGAAGCAGAAACTAACAACAAATCGCCTTCATAATTGGTATCGGAGCGTTATTATATGTATTCAGTGATCATATATATAATAATGCTTCAATGTCGTCTATGACGGCAATTTCTTGCCGATTTTTTTTTCAAAACGATGCTTAGATCGGATAAACGGTTGTTTTGGCCAATATATTCTAGTTTAAATGACAAAATCTCGTTTTTTTCAACTATCTAAGATGTTAAAATACTGGTACCAAATGGTCTATTAGGTTTCTGTTCATTGACATAAAGAACATTTGATAAGTTTTGATCTCTTTCAAATAATATTCTTTTCTTATGTTTTAGTCGTAAAATACATTGATTTTCATAGCATATATATTAAACATCTAGATCTGCTCTACACTAGAATTTGAGTATTCTATCTTTTATAGTTACATATATAAGAGGGATAAAAATATTCAAAGAAATTTTTTGAATTATTTTTCAGGATTTTTTTTGCCGCTTTATTAAGGATGTTAAATAAAAACTGATGGATAGAACAAGATTTACGAATCGAAATTGTTTAAACATAACTAGAAGAAAAAGTATATATATATATGTCAATTAGGGGCGTAACCAGTAAAACGTGATAGAGGAGGCTCATGGTGTTTTTTAACATAAGTCAACTATTGATGGGGAGGGCTCAATCCCTTCTAGACACAGTTGAACCCCTATCTGGTTACGCTACTAATACCAATGCTTATATATATACTCTTCATCTTGATCTATCACTTGTTTCAATCGATTGGGTAATTTCTCCATCATATACACCCGTATCCTCTTTTGTAAAAGATCTTTATTATCTAATACTAATGTCACAGTCATCAAATTCTGATTACCATCACAGTTTAGTACTTTTCCATTTGCTTTTGAAGCCTATCCAATAATTTTTGGTTTTCTCTTTCACTTCCAACCTTTGCCTGTTGCTATGAAAACGTTTCCAATAAATTTTGATTTTTCGTCACTTGGTTGCTAGAGCCTTGAAGAAGCCGCAAAAAAAGCTCGATTTAAAACTTACATTCACTATTCTCTTCGAAAATATATCGAAATTCCATAAAAAATTTAGAAAAAGTAAAAATATCCCGTATTCTTCCACATATGTAGCAATGATATCTCTCTGTCAAACTATGAACTCTTTCAGGCTTTTCTTAGTCTCATTGAGCCCTAATCATAGCTAAATAATAGAATCGAATGACATCGAACAGTTGAATATATTTCTTTCTGAGTTTGATGTTGAATTGTTAAGTTTTGCTTTATTGAATTCATGATTCGAGTTCGATTTATGACTCGAACTGACTCATCATTTGGGTCGCTTGTATCGATTTTATCTGTCGAGTGTATTGATGTTATATTATCTTCTGTGTTATTTAGGAAAGTTTAAAATCATGTCTGTTAAAATAAATAGAAAAAGAGATTTTTTTAAAATTATTTTACATAGAAAATTCTGTGATTTAAATAGAATCAAATAAAGAAGAAAAAGAAAAAAAAGAAAAAAAAGAAAAGAGCAAAGGTTCAAACATAAATAGTTGTACATAAAACATAAATGGCTTTACAAAAGTCATAAATAATAATTGTTATTGTTTTGATTGATTTAAACAACTGTTGTTGGACTATCATGAGCGAGAACAAGCTAAAAGAAAAAAGAAAAACATAATTATTATTTTTAATATAGATTTATTTCAAAAAAAGAGTTATTTTCATGCAAATAATCATAAATTTTTTTTTTGATTTTCTTTTAAACGAGCAACATTACAAATAAAAAACAAAAAAAAAAAGACCCACTTCATCCTCTAAATTATTAACCATTGATGATTCTTTTCGTTGATAACGCTAAATTTATAATTAAAATAATTGTTTGACAAAAGAAAAAAAAAACTAATAAATTCAATTTGATTTACTTTAAGAGTTGGAGATATACCATTAATTATGTTATTGTCATTCATTGGACAAATAAGATTATCAATATCAATTGAACGTGCTCGTCGATGAGAAAATAATCCACGTGAAAACTAAATATTAAATTAATTATTTTATTTTTATTTTTTCTCGTTTTACTTTTATTTTTGTATGTAATGTTAATGGTTGACAATTAGCAGATTTTTCATATTGATTTTTACGATTTTGTAAATCATTACCAATTAATTCTTGAAAACGCATTGATAAATGTCGTCTTAATAATGTTCTTGATGTTGGGATTGATAAAATTTCTGCTAGAATTGACACATTAAAACGTAATTCTAAAATCTAAAATTAAATCATTCTTTTTTCTTTTTATAGAATAACAATATAAACAATTTCATTCAAGACAAAAGAAATCAACTTTTTATTTTCAGTATCTATAATTTTAACGTTACTTCAATGAAACATACGTTAAAAAGAAAAGTAAAACAACTGTTGAAAATTTAATTATTGAAATTCAACATATTGTCAATACTCTAAGCATTTTACCTATTACACAGTTTTATATATTAATTAACATTTAACTAACAGTAGGAATGTTTCGATGAATTAATAAAACAACGTTTTCAAGGAAACATTTCTCTTATGTATTAATGAATTTAATCAAATACAAAAAAAAAGGATTCAGGTCTGCAAACAGATTGAATAAAATCTTTGAAAGCAGAAATCTTGAAAAGAGTTCTTATAAAGTATTTCATTATTCACAATCATCCAACAAAACTATCAACAATAATGGTTAATTACGATCATTAGCACCATTGAGTGAAATACAGGCTCAACGTCACTAACAATCACATCAACAAAAATTAAATCGATAGATTTAAGAAAATAACTTCATATAGAATCAAATAGTCGATCTTTTGCATTTTGCCGAATACATTTATCATTCACGGAATAGTCACTGTTATTCATGATCATGAAAAAATATCATAAAATATAGTTAGCTAACTACTTTTTCTATGAAAACTCATATATCTGAGATGTATTGATCATTTATGTAATGATTTAACCAACCTGGAGTTAGCGGAAACTTGAATAGAAGCTGACAGGTCAAAAAGTTTCGAACTCGAATCCAGAACCAGTCCGACATGTTCTCTAGATGTTCGACCTCCTTCTTTCCTGCAAATAGTTGAGTTTCACTTAAAAAGGAATTTGAATCTCATCTAAAAGCATTATCAGAGAGTTTTCGTCCCCTTTACAAACATAGTCAAAAAATTGAGCCTGTCCTCTGTTAGTAAAATTTTTTTTCTAGTTATGCTACCACCCTTATAAATTATATACAGAGTAAATTAGCCCAAAAGTAAAGAGAACATTGAATTTTTTCTATTTCTTCTTTGTACATGGTCATTTAGACCTCATATTTACTAGCTGATACTAGTAAAAGATGTATCATATGTTCCGTCTTTGAGTGCAGTAATTTTTTCAAAAATGTACAAATAAATCTTACTACTCATGCGTGACTGCATGAGAAATTTGATTTTATTTCGATATTCATAGTTTTCTTTGCTCATCGTAATCTGTTATATCAATCCCATTTAATTACATTTTTTACTGATGATAAAATATATTAGCAAGCTTTTTAAATAACTTATTGTATTCAAAGACTGATCATATCCTATAATTTTGACTAGTATCACTTATTATATCTTATATAAATATGAGGTCTAATTGATCATGTCAGAAAATGAAATTAAAAAAATTCTATGTTACTTTAATTTTCGGTTACCTACGTAGTTTATGATTATGGTTGAATCTATATTATTTTGGAGTGAATATAAGATAGTCGCCAGCAAAAGAGATTTTCTAATTCTGTAGATGATTGGGAATAATCATATATTCAACGAAATGTCAATATCAGTACGAAATCTCACATAAAATAACTGTTTGAATAAAGATTTGATTTTTGTTGACTAGTTTAAAATATCTTGCTGCTGTAAAACGATCGATTTTGTCACTAAAATTTGCCTGGTTGGATATTCAATTAGACAGAAACACAATTAGTTCTTTTAGTATCAATTCTGAAACCATAATCACTTTTCTTGTGTATCTAAACTATATTGAAAGCCAAACGAACAACATTGATACTTTATGCTAGCTGATATAATTATTTTATTATGTTCAACTCACCAATTACTTTGCATTTTATTGTAT